TCATCATCATCATCATCATCATCATCATCATCATCATCATCATCATCCAGGTGTGTGACCCTGTGATCCTGTGACCCAGTTCAGAGTCAGGATCATTCCTGTTGCGTGCAGAGATGAGCCGTGGTCCTGCGGTGAGGCTCTCATCGAGACTGTGAGATACATTTGACAGAGAGATCCAACCAGGTTTTTAAAAAATGAACCAAAAAAACATACTGGTGTCATAGGATAAGTCGCTGTTGCCGCTATTAGGATGGAGGCCATCACTACTAAGTTGCAGGCCATTGCTATTAGGTTGGAGAAGCGTTCGATCACTCACAGAGCATGGTCAGGCATGAGCCGATCCAATGCTTGGCCTACGTGGACACTCCACTGCAAGCAAGGCACCTTTTGAAGCTTCGCCGCGAGGCAGACCAGACATGACCAGACTGTGTTTAGAAGGTGCTGTTGCGTTACCGCAGGAAGCTGTTGGAGTGGAGTGGATGTCCAAAGACAGCAGAAAGGAAACCGCCTATACAAAGAACCGCCTATGTCCGGCGTGGTCACTTTCAGGGCGTAGAGCTGTGCTCATCGTGCTCGAGGGACTTGAAAGTGGCATTGTTGCTATCAGGCGATCTTGGCCATAAGCAATTGCCTTGTCACAAAGCTGAGCATTGCAAAACCAGTCGAATTTGCTGTTGTGGTGACACGCATTGACCGGATTTGTTCTTGTCGTTGAAGCTGCACAGGTTTGCAGGACGACATTGAGGTTCAGGAAATAGAGGACAGAACAATCCGCAATCTAAAAACCTGTGCTCTCCTTGTGCAATATGTTGCAACCTGTGCAGTGGCTCTCTTTGGCTGTGTTGAATCGTGTTGCACGGAATGTGTTTCCTTTGATTTGCTGCACCTGAGATGAATTGCTGTTCAGGAGGTTGGCCGGATCTTATGCCACGAGTCCTTCGGTCCATGCTTTGTACCGTATGAGGTGTGCGGAGAGGCACGGAGACAGCTGCACACATTCATGCGTGTAGTTCTCATTGCAGTACGGACTTTCCATGCAACTCAGGTTCGCTAATAAGGGCAATGGCAATTACTGTATATGATATGTAATTCGACAGATGCCGGAGTTGTGTGACTGTTGGCAAATGTGGACAGGTGTGTCAAAACATGGGCTTTGCAAAGGTGACCTCCCTAAACATGCGCAGCTTGGCCCAAAGAATGCAACCAAAGCGGCTTAAGCAAGTCACTTGTTGTAACTACTCGCATTTGGGTTTGGATCCACTTGATTGAGGCCTTCCCTAGGATTTCTTCATCCAGGGTGTGTGTTGTTTGACTGGGTTCCTTGATGCAAGGAATGAAGACAGGACGGAAAAGCAAAATGCCAAAAGGATCCAAAAGTCCTAATAAGGTCCAATGAAGACATGCAAAAAGGCAAGAAACCCTATTTGTACTGTACTTGTTGATGTTTGTTGCTTTGTGTTGCTATGCGGTTCTCAAGGTGTTGGACCTAGTGGCACCCGGCCCTTTCTGGCAGCGGACCTTTTGGAGGAGCCGGCACGATGGGAGCAAACGACAGAAAACGGAAAGGTTCTGAATTATTGTATATTATTACTGAAAGATGGAGAGAGATACGATCGGTAGCTGCACTGGCTCCTGCCATAAGCGGGAAGATAAAGAAACAGACCTTTTGATTGACTCTCGGCACTCAGTCGATAAGCAGCGATCAAGACAGGCAATTGATGGCAATTGCTAAACAAGGTTCACACACACCTCACTGACTGCCAAATGCACTCATGCTTGGAGAATTTGGAATGCGCCCAACAGGAACCAAGGCTAAGCTCAAGATGGACTCCCAACGGCGAATCATCGTGAAAACGCATCTCACCTGTTCTTTCATGCAACACAAGAAGGCCAAGTAGAAAAGTGATTTGTATGATGAAACCGACAGCGACCAGTAATTCTCTCTCAGATCAGATCAACATTGTGTATCCGCCTGAAAGGTTATATGACTCAAACCACGAAGAGTCACACATCTGAGCACATGCAACAGCATGGAACCACTCCAACTCCGCAACCCAGTCCCACGGCCCACAGCGTTATTTGATGTTTTATGCACCACTACTGGGAAACCTTTCAGGAAGGGCATGATGCCACCCACGTGCAAACTTCACAGTTCCAACAGTAAAGAAAGAATCCGATCTTTGGCCTCAGATGGCCTCGGCAATTAGTCTTTTTCCCCAAACAGTGTGGTCACACTAGGGGTTCTTACGGTAGTGGTAAAGCACCGGTGTTTAAATCAAGGTGTCGCGCATCCGTGTCCGGCTAATTCGCTGCTATTTGCAGCACATTCATACCTCTCGAAATCCTCGAAGTGCATTTCGACTTTGCAGGCTTGCAAAATCTGGTTGGCTGGAGCGGGTGCTTGTCGCGACTACGCTCTCGTTCTGGTGCCGCGCACATTGTCGATGATGATCGTGGCCGGCGCGAGGGAAACCTCGTGCTTTGGTGGTGCAACATCGACTTTTCGTGACAGGTGCAAGGGGTCGGAGCGGCTGTACTTCGAAAGGCAGATTTCGTGCCAGGTGCAGCTCTTGGGACACGGTGGTGCTCTTCGGCGCGCTCTAATTTCGTGACAGGCGCAGTGAATTGTGAGCTTTGGACATGTGGGTCATTTTCAGAAATCGGGGGACGTCTCGCGCGAAAGCTGCGTTTTGGTATCTTGATGTTGTCTTTGGAAGCGCTCTTGCGGCAAAACAGGCACAGCACTTGTCACAGATTTCGTGGCAGGGCTGCCTCGAAGTGCAGGCGGCTGCAGGCGCAACACTTTGTCAACCTCGACGCGCGGATTTCCTGGCCGGCGCAGCACTTTGTCAAGGAACCGGTATTTCTCTGGGATGCTTTTTGTTTTTTTCTGGGATTTTGTGTTTTGTGTTGTTTCTGCTTTTGCTTTTGCTTCTGTTTTTGTGCTTTAGCTGTTTGATTACTTTTTGCTTTTGCTTCTGCTTTTGCGTTCTGCTTTTGCTTTTGCTTCTGCTTTTGCAATTGCAAATAGACAAGCTTGAAGCACTGCAAGTGCTGCTGCAAGTGGCCAGGTTTGTGTACTGCGCTGCTTGCAGTAAAGAGCCTGCGCCGGTGCGATGTGACCTTTTGTGAGCTACTAGAGGGTAAAATTTAGAGGAAGGTGCCATTCCAACTGCCCATAACTTTTGAGAGGCACCCGACGGTAAACCACCCGAGTCACCCGAGGTTAAAATTTAGAGGAGGAAGGTGCCGTTGCAACGGTGCATGAGGCGCCCGAGAATATATCTAGAGGAGGAAAGCGCAGTCAAACTGCAGACGCCCGAAGGCAAAACTTAGACGATGAGGAAGGCGCCATTCCAACGGTGCATACCTTTTGCGAGCCACCCGATGGTAAAATCTAGAGGAGGAAGGTGCCAATATCCAACGGCGCAAACCTTTTCTGGACCACCCGATGGTATAATTTAGGGGCGGAAGGCGCTATGCCAACGGCGCTTACCTTTTGTGATTCACCCGAGGGCAATACGTAGAGGAGGAAGGTGCCATTCCAACGGCCCATGGCTTTAGAAGACGAAGAACTGCTAAGAGACCCGAAGCCGGCAGACAAGCGCAAAAAGGTCCCTATTATAGTTCCTCTCTCCACTTTCCTCACTGCTCTTTCTCCTTTGTTCCTTTTCTCTTTCGCTTTCGCTCTTTCTCTTTCCCTTTCTCTCGCTGTCTCTTTCTCTTTTTTTCTCTCTCTCTCTCTCTCTCTCTCTCTCTCTTCGCGGCGCATATAACATTTATCTTACTGTATATTTTGCACAAAAAGCCGAAGAACTCTTAACAGAAGTGCCCAAAGAAACCCTAAATACAAGGAACCGAGCCCAAAGAAACCCGAAACCACTGAAACCCAAAGACAACCGCAAAGAAGTCCCTACTATTTCCACACTCCTACTTCTCCTTCGCTGAGTCACTGCCTCGCTCTCTCTCTCTCCCGCTGGCTCTGCTGTTGCTGCTTCGTCCCCTGACCTTTCTGCTGCTCCTGATGTTTCTAAAGCACTCCCAGAAGAAAAACGCGAAAACAATCACAGGAAAAAACCGAAAAAGAATTCCCGGAAACAAAAAAATCCCTTTGCCAACCTCGACGCGCAGATTTCGTAGCAGGCGCTTTGTGAACCTCGCAGGGCAGATGTCGTGGCAGGCGCAGCACTCTCACTCTCACTCCGCCCACACTCACTGTCACTCACGCTCACACTCACTCTCCCCCACACTCTCACCCACACTCTCACCCACACTCTCACCCACTCTCACTCTCACTCACATTCGCCCATACTCACACTCACCTCACTCACACTCACTCACTCTCACAACAACACTCTCAGTCTCGCTCGCGCTCATTCACACTCACACTCACTCACCACCACCACCACCACCATTGTCACCACGATCTCCACCTTCATCACCACCATCACCTCTTTGGACACCAATGCGTCTAGATCTCTAGACCATTTGCTGCTACACCTCTAGACTGTAGACCTCACACACACTGTTTGGGGTCTCTTGCCGGGATAATGGGGGAACTACTTGAACAGACCCACTGCCATTTGAGCTTGCGATTCTCAGGCTGCTGGCAGCGTCCTGCTCGCTTTGCACGTGCGGCTCTTGGTGCTTCCGGCAGAAGAGTCCTGGATGTCGCGAAACTTGACCAATACTCGGGTGTCCTTTTTTACTTGGGAGGCCCATGCGCAATGATTCGATATGAGGCGTGTTGCACCAGCAGTGCGAAGGAGCAGCACCCTTTGGTACTGATGTTGGGTGGAGTGAACTGTTCTGTGCAAGTACCCGCGTTATTATGGGCACATCCTTGCCTTTTTGGGACATGTTTGTTGTCGGGACTGCGGATTTAGCAAGAAGGCTAAATACGGCTACTTTGCGCGTATAATATATATATATATATATAGTGTATATACGTATGTAACACACATCTAAGGAACTGTTTTGTTGGCTGCGCAGTTGTACCAAGACGATGAAGGCAGGAATCTTGACATGAGGCCAATTTTGACATTGTATATGTTTGGTATCTGAAAGCTAAGAATTCAGGTAAGAAGGAGAGAAGAAAGACAGGTCCAACTTTCGACAGCAGAAAAACAACATCAAGGAAAATTGAGCGCATGGAAGGTGACGCCAGAACTCCAGCGCTGGAGATCGCGACCCTCCCAAGCGAGGGGCAAAGTTGCGACATTGCAGACTTGCCAAAATGCCAAAGGAAAGATTTGCAAAGGGTGTCAGAGGTGAGATCTCCAAACCGTATGCATTCCTCAAGTTAGTATGATGTCAAGAGTATGATATCAACACCTTGTCCTTGACGAGTGAGTTGCATTATTGTGATTATGCCGCATTGTGCCCCTTTATATAGTTTGCTAAACAAGCTTGGATTTATCCGCAGGAACAGTCAGAGAATGTCCTTGAGAATGATGGAAACAGCAATTGACCATACAGCAGGGTCAAGCACCGATTATCAGGAACTGCTCTCAGAAGTTCCATCTACCACGATTGAACAGTTGTTTATTGTTAATTAGCAAGGTTGGGTGGGCCATGTCAGTCGATGTTTCAATGTCCAAGCCAAACAGAGTTGTCCGGAGTTGTTTGCAACACACCGCATGTGCTGCGAGCAGCACGTGGCCGCTGCCACTAATGGATTTGCGATAGCAGTCAGGAATGGTGGAAAGTGGCTTGGCTGTCAAAGGGGCGGCTTATTCACGAAAGTTTGCAGGGATGGCCAATATCACGCCAAGTCACCAAGTGTATCCAAGTGTGGGGCATGGTAAAATACTGATGCCAATGATTGGCATTTCCCGGCTAGTTACTAGTTTTCTACATTGCGCTCCAGCTTGCAGGAGGCCGGACCCAGTGCTGAAGGAACTTCAAGAAGGTTCCATCGTCACAGATGTTTTGGGCTGCTTGTCTGTAAAGAATATCCAGAGTGGAAACAGGCCAAAGACTCCATCAGTCAGAAGCATGTCGGCATGTTGAGCTCAGCAAGAAAAACAAGAAAACAACTCACAGGGAAGCTGGAAGTGCTGCTTCGTCGCAAACACACCAATCACTACAGTGTGATAGTTGTCCACCTATGTCGGCCCATTGGATTAGGCTCTCAAACCGCTGTAGACATTGATGTGTGCACGTGACCTCTGCGAAGGTGATTCCCTGGAGGGTTAGATGTGCAGGCATATTTCACCACATGGCACGCCGATGAACTTAAATGTGTTGCATAGGCTATCCTAAGCGTTCATGATTGTGGTGCCCATGAATCCATGACATAAAACCTAGACCCTGCAGCGCCTTTTTCTAGTTTGTTGACTTTCCAGAAGCTTGTTTTCGAATTGCAAGAGTGTCGCATATTGTATCTTAGTGTATCTTCAGGAGCGAAAGGCATACTATGGTACTGAAAGCTGAAGGCCAATGTCTTGCAGTTTGCAACCAAATTTGTCTTCGTAAGGCACAGTGGGCAGTGATTGGGCCTCAAAGCCGCGCTTGGCCACCACAACTTTGGCCAAAGTGCCATGGTGGAAAGCGATCGCAGTGCTGGAGGCCTCCAACGCACTGATTTTTTGAGAATGGGACGGTGGGAGGGCGGAGCAAACAAGCTCCATACAGCAATGAAGCCAGCAAGAAGTAGCTGTAGCGATCGGATGCGGAGAAGCTTGAAGTCGACCAGAATTCCTTCAAGATCTTTGAAACCGGTTTTCCGCAAAAAAACGCGAACAATGTAATTAGCAAGAAAGGGAATGAAAGGTTTAAACGCTAAGAGGACAAGAACAAACAAGACGCGTGTAAAGGCGACCAAGTTGTCCTCAATAAATAGGAGGTCTTTGGTCTTTGGAGTCTAGGACCCTTTGCTGTAGGAAGACTAGGAGCTTTTGGGATCGATTTTGGGAAATCTGGTCGGCATCGAACGATCACAAATTTGCATCCATGCAGCCATGATTGAGGGGATGGTGACGTTGCAGATGCGAATCAACGAATTCCACTGCAATGTTGTTCTGAAGGCGAGGCGGGCTCAAAGATGTTCAAAGCTTCTTCCGGCTGGGCGCCGCGTGTGGAGTCATTCCTCCTATGGGAAGATGGAAGTTTTGCTACAATGCCCTGTACCAATGTAATCATGTGACAGTCGTTCATGGTTCAGTTGATTTGGAATGGCCAATGTTGTCCTACACATTGCTGGAGCAAGGACGCTACTAGTAAAACGGGCATCGCTACTAGGAACAAGGACGCTACTAGGGGCTCCTGGCCTTACTACTAGGAGCAAGTAGCTACTAGTAACAAGAAGCTACTAGGGGCTCCTGGCACCGCTACTCGGAACAAGGACGCTGTCACAACCGTTCCTTCGACGTCACCGGATGCGAGGCCAGCCCATGGCGTCAACAAGGCGCCCATTTGATGAGCATGGCCAATGCGCAGTTGGAGCAGGAAGGTCATACCGAGCCAAGCCAGTGGCGTATTCCGTCCTACTAGCTGATTGTGTGGCTATCACAGGGTCAGGGCACTGTGAGGCTCCAAGTTCTTTGTCTAGCAGAATTACTTGCTTTACAGTCCTCTAGCATAGCTGAGAAAGATTTTGATTATACAAACTGTATATATACAGATATGATTAAATTAGGACCCAGAATATCATAGAATAATTTAATATCTCTCCAAGGCCTATCTCAATGGTATGCATGGTTGCGTGAAATGGAGTCAGGACCAAGTGACACTTACTTCTGGCATTGCAAAAGGGGAAGCTCCCTGGCCAGTGGCTGTCCGGCGCTTGCACGCTCCTTTGCTTTGATAGACCGGGAGATATCGGGAGCTTCTTGCAGCTAGACTTTCCTGTTCTACTACTTCAGGAGGAGGACTTGTCCTTCTTACCGGGTTTTTTGACATCCTATAACATCTATGAATCTATGTGGATCAGCTGCGGTCGAATTGAGTAATTAAGAAGTCCATTTCGCGTGGCCAGTGTGGAACGGTCAATTATCACCCTCGTTCAAACTTAAGTGTCCCTCAAAATCTAGGAAACAAATGAATAGCGCAAGCGTTTTCTTTCAAGGAAGCTCCCCCTCGCCCTCAGGCGGGAGTAGCTTCCTTGAAGAAGCTTGAGCTACCCGACCCTGCATCCATGCTAGTAGCTTAAGTTAAGTAAGGTACCAGCTACCTCTCCCTTACTTAACTAAGTAGGCGCCTACTTAATTTTGTAGGGAGGGAGGGAGCGGGGTAAAAATACAAACTTTGACTTTTAACTTTTGTCCTAGTGGTGTATGCGCAATTGGCTCAGGAGATGAACAATCACCATATCAGATGCGATCCTCGATGGGATGCAGTCTTTTTCTTCATACGGTAGGCCCGGTAGGGAGAAAACGGCCAAATATGTTCAATTGCTTATAATAGATTTTACTCATCCAGATACACACCTAAAGAAGGGGAGGAGCCTAAAGCTTAACTTGTGGCTTCTCGAAAATGTTGTTCTTCGCTTTGTCATTTCACAGCAGCTAGCCTTGCTGCCCAGTAGTCATTTACACTCTTTTGGGAAGACTAGGCTTTTCTCATTGAGTGGGAGAGCAGCCAATCTGGCACTGCAAGAGAGCTGCAAACAGTTGTTGTGACGTGACAGAACTCCTGAGGATGTCACCGGCTTTAGTGCTTTGCTGACTGCTTGTGACAAGCAGAGATGGACAAAGGCATTTGAATTCCTACACCATATGGCATTGCAGAAGTTGCTTCCAGATTCTTGGATCCGACTGTTTGATGGGGTGATCGACGCCATCCAGTTTACCACGTTGTGTGATCGGTTCTCGTCCCAGGATGTGGTGACGATCACTGCCGGCATCGTCGCAGCTGGAAACCTTATGTCCTGGCCATTGTCGCTGAAACTGTGCCAAATGAGACCCAAAGAGGTGCAGAGTGAACTTGAGTGGGCGTAAGATACATAAAGCATGGGACAGGATCAGGGGCCCTTTCTCCACCCCCTCCTCATCTCTTGGCAGATGTAGTCGTCATTCCTGTCATTCCTCACATGACATGGTTTCTTCTCGATGGAGGTCCTTTTGAACGCATTCGTTCTGACTTCCGTGCTCAAAGCCTGCGACCCTCCTGGACAATGGGGCCTGGCCCTTTTGCATTTGCAACCTTTCTGAATGGCCGTGCTTTTCAAAACCAAGTGCTCCAAACTGCTCGAGATCCATCCACCTTTTTCGTTCGAGAACGGGAGTTGCCAAATAGACTTGCTGTTGCAGTGACAAATGATGGATTGTCAGATTTTGATTCCGTTCTCAAGTCGTAAGTGTGGGAATGTCACGTTTTGCTACTTCCGTATTCAATCGGCTTGGACTACATGTGTCATTCTGCCAATGACAGTCCATATTGATCAGCTATCAACTCAGGCAGCATGCTTTCGCCCAACGAGCACCCCCAACATCCGCATGCAATGCTGCGGCAGGGCTACTAAGCAGGGTGGGACTTTGGCACTGGGTGCTGACTGTGGCCTTGACAAGGCGGAACAGACACCAGAGGTCAGACAAGCTTTCGGCAAAGAACTACGCTGTTTCTGTTTGTGGACCTTTCTATGTGTCGTTTCCACCAGTGATGTCGTCTCATGATTTGTCCATGGAACAGGCCCGACAATTTGAGCTGGCCCATCGCAGTGAACGCTTGCCTTTTGCCGGCCTGGCTGAGCAGGGAAATTGCCTGACTTGCATTGAAAGAAAGGTTAGTGGCCCTTTCTGGCTAAGGTAGTGCGGCAAACCTATGGCAAACCGCTTTGCAATTAGCCTTCCAATCTCACAACCACATGGCGGCCTCAACAGCATGCGAACGTGTGAGGAAGTGGCAGTGCGGCTCCTACGTACTTGCTTGTCTTACACAGAATGTCAAGCACATTCCAGTAGCCACAGCAACTGAATGCCACACTCCTTTGGTTTGTTTCCGGCATTGTTGTTTCTTCACTTACCTTTCATCATTTCAAGGTGAGACTCTCCAGAATCCACATATGACTTGCCTTGATCGCGATTCAAGGCTCGCCCTGGCACTTCTGGGCAAGCGACCGATAAAGGGGAGCTCCCCAGAGCCTTGGACAATGAGCAATTCGGAGGTACATGAAGAAACATTCATTGCAGGTGCGTCGGCTAACTCATACTGTTTGTAGGGTGCACTGCATTTAGCAAATGCGGCAAATGCGTGCTTCAAACTACAGATGTACACCGTACACCCACGTTGATGGTTTAATTGCTGTTCCGATGAGTTTCAGCTTGATGATGAGTCACCATCCGTCTATCGCAGTGGCGAACCCATGACTGTGGCAAGATTGGTCCATCACTTGACTGAGGAAGCCTTGGCAAGCCAAGCTTGGGCCTTATCAAAAGACCCAGCGGCAGCAAGGCTGCTATGCAAAGTGCTATGCAAAGGGCTTGTCAAAAACACCAATGTGATATGCAAAGTAATGCATGCCTCACAAAGTCACCGACAAATGGATGATCAGCGATGTGAACCAGATTCCTGCACCGGTTGTGCGAAACTGAGTGGGGCTTCGTGTGGAAACATGAATGGGCTACGGAAAAGGACTTATAATATATATGTTTACGGAATCTTACAAACGTGACATGCCCAGCTAAACAAACAACACCAGTACTACCACATCTACCAGAGACAGATTGACATGGACATGGCTCTGAGTAAACACCTATCCCACCAAACTATCGTAGGTTGAAAACCCTTGTAGAGGAACCTGTTTTTTTCATGTTTTTGTTCGGCGGTCAACCAGAATAGATACTCGGGAATGATGATGTAAATATAAACGGCTATATTTAAGCGGCCTGACTTTCAGGCCATCCAAAGCCGGGCTGGCCCAAGTGAACCAACAAGCAAGGGAGCTCGCCATTCTGGCCACTCAAAAGCTTGACCATTTTGAGGCATGGATCCATTTCTTTCTAGTAGAGGAGTGGGCTCCCGCCCAAGAGCTAGCAGCTAGCACTTTGGTGGGAGCTTGCGCTTCGGAGAGGAAAGTGAGAATTCTTGGTGAATGCTCCCTCTTCTTCCTTCAAGAACAATTGCCGTGAAAACTGGTTTCGTTTCGAAAAGAAATGAGATGAGTAGGAACGGCATGAAATAACTCAATCAATTCCAAAGCTGTAGAGTCAAGTGAGTCAAGTGAGCTGAAGTCTCATCGTTGTTTGCAAATTGAGGCCCTACCATTGGGGAAAGGATGTTGGGGAAGTACCGTCGTTTTTCACCGTTTGCTTGCGACTCGAGACTTCTTTGCTGAACTGTGAGTAACATGTGCACACCCCTAAGTAAGTTAAAGATCACCATGGCCAGTTGCCAGTAGTAGTCATGAGTCCACGGGCACCAGGCACGCGAGCTGGCGAGTCTTTTGTGGTCATTAGCGACTTGGATTTGATTTGTACCGCAATTGTATCTTTGGGCTTGTGCTTGCCTGACACGAGAACACAACGGACCGACGGCACCATTGGCAAACCACACTGGCGACAACTTGATGGAATTCATCATGATCCTGCCAATCTCCCCTTGATAAGGTATCGATTGCTTATGTGGACAGGGCACTGCTTGACGGCGCATCCACCCGCCTTTTGGAGGATCGCCTTCATCAGCTCTCAGTACGAGAGCTGGCCAGTTTGGCGATGGCGTTGGCAGCTTGGCATTGGCTTTGTCACTGCCGTGCGGCAAGCAAATTATGTGCAATATACCTTAGATTGGCGTTTTTGGCCAAGGCTAGCAGCAGCTTTGACCACAGCACAGGCGAGCTGTGCCTCGTTGCATTTCAAGCGCTACAACGGGAGATAGCAGCACGAGCTGGTCAAATTTCTCTGCCAGCAGACTCCATGATGCTGCAGGCCAGCTCAGGTGAGGAAGGGAAAGATATGAAAAGGTTGGTGACCCTTTGTTGCCTACCACATTTTCTAACAGGACCTTGCTGACCGCCTTCTTGACATTCTTTGGGCATGCAAGTTTGCTGGCTACCTGAGCACAAACATGCTGTCGGCTTGCAGGACTGTGGCTCCTGTGTAGGTGGTGGGGCACTGTAAATCAGGCAAATGCCAAGCTCACTATTTCACTCCAATGTCAGCCCGATTTTTCCTTGTTTTTGACGGCAAAGACCCAGGAGACTGTTGGACAAGATTGCATGTGCCCTTGGACAGCTTCAAGGACAACAGTTGCAATGGGCCACACTAGCAGCTTCGCACCAAGAAGGTGCACCCTTGAACACTTGCGCAACCAGGAGCATCCAGGAATCATTTTTCTCGCTCCTTCCAGGTTGTGATGAAAATCCTGGAAATCCTCAAATCGTAGTCGTCCGAGCCACAGTCTCTCCTAGCTAGAGGACACAGCTAGAAACTCATGGGTATCAACTTAGGATTTTGGTGATAGAAGTGTGGTGCACAAGCCACCATCATTTTGGCAGGCCTGACACGTGATGACCACATTTGCAGATTTAAATGGTTTCTTTACAAAGCATGGTGTTGGATTGCAGCCTGGAGTCCAGAACGGCACTCAAAACCCCTTTGACTCCAATTGAGACCAAGCACAGGTGGACGACGGGAAGGATGAACCAGAGGACGATGCCCTTCGGCTGTCGCAGTTCACCCAGGTGGAAATGAAGAAAGCCTCAAAGTGAGTGCAAGGGCTCAGTTGAGCTGTTCAATACAGGTGTGGTTGGTATTGATTGGTGCTTGTGCTTTTCATGTTTTATGTGTTGGTTCACCCATTTCCTGCCTTGTAGCTCCTCATAGGCTGCTAGACACTACGTCGCAGAGAGTCCTTGTGGGAACGTGATTCCCGAGCCACAGCCAGCCATGGTTTTACTCAACTCTGGGTCAAGCTAGCGGTCAGGTTGCATGCTCGTTGTGCGAAGTCGATCAGCGGCCTGTTCCAAAACAAGTGCACCTGGAACTGGCCATGTTCAAGCAGTGGCAATGTGCGTCTATGAAGCTATGTGGCCCGATATCTTCAGGTCACAAGGAATGCCTCTTCAAGGATGAAGTTCACAAAGATTCCAGGTGATCAGGTGCAATCAAGAAATTGCCACCTGCAAGAAGGGTTTGGAGCGGCGGAGCGCATCACACCTGCTGGACAAGATGTCAACCTCATTTTTGCGTGACTTTCTTGAACATATATACTGAACTAGACATTGTAGGTAGGTTGTGTACTTAATTAGTGTGTGTGTGTGTGTTTTCATTCTATTGAACTATGTTTTGTTGATTGTTTGTTCACTGTGATTGTTACAGCACGTGATTGACCCCATATGAAGGTCTCCAAACAACAGAAGGGGTTGAGCCCTCCGCTTGCACAGCTTGGGGACGGAAGTTGTTCAATTTGTATGGATCTTGGCTCACTCTTTTGTTGTTCTAAACATTCTCACTAATATATGTTACTCTCAACGTTCCAAAGAGGTTCTGTTTGCACTTATGTGTGCTTTCACGGAGTAACCACATTTGATTTGTCACCAGCTCGTATAGAAGATCTTTTGTCAGTTCCATGAAATGAGGAAACAGATGCAGATGAAGCAGATTCAGTCCAACCTGTTCACTTACAGTTGTGCAGCTGTTGGCTGTGCCATATGGCGCGACTCTGTGCAACTATGTAATTACGTGAAGATGTCCATAGCAAGAGCTTGGAGGTGGGCAGTCTGAAGTATTAGATTCACATGTGAAGCTACATCAAGCATGTTGGAACATGCTTGCACCAAGCAGGCCCCATGTTGCCCTGACGCCAACATTGTCCCCGGAGGCAATGTGCTGAGCAGTCTGGCACGGTCTGCTTCCTGGAACTTGGCGCTTCAGATGCTCAGCCCTGGTAGAGCAAGGTCCGATGCTTTTCGGGATCCATGTCGTCATTGACTGTAGATGGCTTGAAATGGTCATTATTCATTGCGTCGCGTTACTTTCACTTCCTGGTGATGCAACTGGCCACATGTCTTTTGTCAACAGGCATCAAGCTGGACATTTTGCTGATGTGGTGGGCATGGCGTTTGCCATCACTGCCTGCGAAAAGGCCTTCCATTGGGAGTGGGCACTTCAGCTGCTTGCGCAGCGGTGATAAAAAGCTTCAGCTGAACGCTGTAATTTACTAGTAGAGCTATCAGTGCCGAGGTCAGCAGATCATTGATTGTGTGTTCCCATTCATGTCAGTGTAAATCAAAACGCATATTGACAAGGAAAGCATGTGCCAGACATAGTGAAGTTGTCTTTGTAATCACTCGGAGGCGCTTGTGAATGAACATCAATGTGGCAAGTTTCCCTGTTGTTGATGCAGAAGGCTACGTTTTCCGCGGATGTTATTACTTTCAATTCTACAATCAGTGCCTGTGAGCAGGCTGCCAAATGGCAATACGCAACACACCTGAAGAATCAGCTTGGTTCAGCCGAATGTGATCACATGCAATGCAACGATCAGCGCGTGTGAAAAGGCATTTGCCTGGCAGATGGCCTTGGACTGTCACAGACTTTCCTGGATTCAAAGACTGGCTGATGTGATCGCTTATACTGAATTTGCTTTTGCTTGCCCTAAAGTTAAGTGTCAGCAGGCCGTTCACCTTTTGCAAGACCTTACTTGGGTATGCATGACAAAGAAGGAGGTGAAAGGCATAATCTACGGTATAATGACCATAGGTTTCAGGCTGGAGATTTTTGCAAGCGGAATCTAACTGGTTGTCGATCTAAAGGTCCTAGTCAGCAGTGTGTATGACGATGACCCGGAACATATCAAAATCTCATTTGGCAAAAGTTTTTTCTCGAGTTGGCGAAAGTAAATTTTTTTTGGCGAAAGATCTGGCGAAAGATTACATATGTACTGTTGTATGAATGTTCATTTGCTTTCTGAACAGCTGGTGGCAGTGACTCAGAAGCTAGATGAGCTGTGGAAGTTAGATAACCTGCTGCTGCTGCGGCTGCTACTACTACTACTACTACTACCACTACCACTACCACTACGACTACTACTACTACTACTACTACTACTACTACTATTCCTGCTCCTGCTTTGGGGGGTGGCTTTGCCACAAAACTCTACCCCCCAAAAGGCGAAAGTTTGGCGAAAGTTCAGCTCAAGATTGGCGAAAGTTCACCCTGCCACATCTGACCCCCAGCCCATTATGAGTAAGGTTGAGTGACCGGCTACTACAGTGATTCTGGCAATTTTGATTCTTGCTGACACCCAGGAGAAACAAAAGAGACGTACAGGGTGTCAACAGTTAAGTAGAAGACACATGCTGACAAACAGTGAAGTTTCTATTTTGTGTTTGCCAGTAAAGAAGAAGCCATTGACGTGAACAAAACACAACATACATGGCACACATAAATACAACGTACTTCGGCGAAAGATAAAACGCAGGAAGGCGAAAGTTTGGCGAAAGTAATTTTTTTTTGCGAAAATGACGGGTCCCGGATAAAGGAATTTAGATCAACTCCCAACTGTTGCAAGCAGAATTGTGTTTAGGAACTACTGTACATTTATGCAAGTGGAATCGAACTTTTTGTAAACTGTGCTACACGCCATGACCCCTGAAACACTACCTGCCCCCTGAACAGTTTCAGTTGCGCGGAAGCCCTGAACCTGCAGGTGGCAAGGCATGTTGCCAGATGTGAACCTTTTGATACCTTTTGATTTCCGTGCTCGGAGCTTGGAGACCATCTGATTGGGCCTTGAGGATTCCATGCCAAAGAAACTTCTCGTGGGACTTTTCATTTCAGACCGAACAGTCCCCCCAGTGCTCATTCCTGCGGCACTTTGTACTGCAGAAAGAGGCAGTGAAAGTCACTGGCTGGAAAAAAGGGGCCGACGGTGACAGGGCTGAATTTGAAAGAAGCTGGATCCCTTTGATAGACGCTGACTATGTAATAGCCAGAGCTGTATATTTTCGGCCTGCTGAGCAGGCTTTGAATCCTCCCCGGCAGTGGCCACTCATGGAGGATACCCAACATGGTCGAGGTTTTCTCCACCGTTGCTTGATGCAATATAATTACAGTAGCTTGAAGGGTTGCGTTTCTGCTCTAATTGCCATTGGATTCGTCAGTATGAAATCAAGGGGGGTCAAGGCTCCCTATAAGATATTTTACCTATGGCAAATTGGCTGTTGCACCTCCTATTTTATAGAGAAATCAGGGTTTAGAGAAACCTTGTGTAATTTCAGAGGGGGTTAAACCTGAGGAGTATGCTTCTATATGTGTTTTATGAGCATGAACCCCTCATGTGTCTCCACTGCCAAACTTATAAGTTCGCGTGGGTCGTGGGTGTCCTTTTTTTGCAATCTCCCCACCAAAACTAGACGACGGATGGCCCGAGAGTGTTTAGGTGTAGAGCTATTCTGGCGTAAAGTGTGCTTGCATGATGATGAAACTGTAAAGCAAAGAGAGGTGGGAGAGGGTGAAAAAGAAAGTCAAAGAGCGTGGGATTAACAAACAGTTTACAGGTGCAGCTTTACAACAAAAATTGTACGGATTCAGGTCCTGTCCCGAAGAAGTCTGACAGCCGGTATTTAGGTCTTAGAGCCGATGTTTGTGCAGGTTTGTGTCTCTGTCCCGCATGTTTCCCGTTCGCCCGTGGCACGAACTGATGCAAGTGTGCTTTCCACCAAGGCTGCGTAAATCTGCTCCAGCGACATCACAGATGTAATTTATTAAGCCCCAACCATGTAACACCAAGCCTCGTGGACACAGCCAACCTTCCCGCTTCCCAGCGACACGCCGAATTTACACCAGCATGTTTTCCTTCCCCCAAGCCGTTTACACCAAACCACGTTTTACACCAACCACCGTTTACACCAAACAACGGTTTACATCAACCGCTGTTTACACCACACCACGGCTTACACAAATTTTTCCGCAGTTCTTGACACTGGGCACCCATGATCTCCGCAGAGGGTTCACCGCGCACACGTTCAAATCACAATTTTCCACAGTGTTTGCTCAATCTCCGCAGAGGGTTTTTGAACTCGTAATCTTCCCGCTGTTTTTGACACTTGACACGCACGACCTCCGCAGAGCTGCGTTTGGACATTTTCGTGACCACTGCACCCGGCCTAAAGAGAGAAATACAATATTTAAATAGAAGGGAGAAGACAGAGAAGGAGAGAGAGACCGAGAGAGAGAGAGTGAGAGTGAGTGAGTGAGTGAGAGTGAGAGTGAGTGAGTGAGTGAGTGAGAGTGAGAGAGATATGAAGATGAGAGAGATATGCAACTGTGAAGGCGAGAGGGAGCAACCACTCTTTTTAAGCTTTACTAAAGTAGTCTACGGCATGCTCCATTTGCTTGTGTATCATCAGTATTCGCTTGTGAACGAGATAGGGCCCCCACATAAAAGAGATACTTGCTTGATTACCCTACTAAAGTAATTAGTTGAGTGAGATTTGCTACTAAAGTAGTCTGAACGAGATACTGTGACATGACCTCATACTTAAGTAGTCGAAAAGAGATAGGGCCCCCACATAGTAGATTGTGTATTTGAGTTTAGTACCAAATAAGAGGGTTTTGTAGATGTCAGATATGAAGATGAGAGAGGAGGAGGAGGAGGAGGAGGATCATGATCATGTGTTTTCTCCTTGTTTTAAAGAAGAACCCTTCACTCAGGCGCTCTTGGGAAACATGAAATTACATAGTAGGTAAATGTACTGTATGTAACATATACTGTAACCAACATAAATTATATTGTTTTCTAACGTTCCCCCTTTGTCCCTTTGGGAATGGCCTGTTTGTGTCACATTCTTCGAACCAGGCCGAACCAGTTGGGGGCCACGGTTCTTTGGAAATTTGTAAAGCGATTAGTAGGGCCAGGAGCTACTAGTAGTAAGGCCAGGGGCCCCTAGTAGCTTCTTGTTCCTAGCAGTAGGGCCAGGAGCCCCTAGTAGCAAACTTAAGGAAATTATATAGGTGAAAAGAAAGAATTGGATGGAAAATTTAAAAGATTAGGTACGAGGAGGGAACAACCTATCTAATGAGATCGTGCCGTGGGAAAAAAAAGATTTCAGTGTTATTCAGTGTCCCTCTGAGTGGGGTCAGGACGGGCAGTTTTATAGAACATTTGGCCTGGATAAGGGCACCAATTAGAGGTCAACACGTATCACAATATAGACTTCTATGTTTGGTCAGCATGCCATTGATTTTATAACATTCTATGGTGTTTAGGTGGTCCATCCCCAATTCGTATCTATAAAATCCCACACCCTCCCCATATTAGATCCTCTATTCATTGCCGGCGTTACTCCAGAACCGTCAGAGCAATTTATACAGGTTGTTTTGACAAGGCCTATAGACCAGGAGAAACTACAGACCAGAACCTGGTTGCTGGCTCATCCTTTTCATATATTTTAATCACTGCTGCAATGCCGTACAATGTAATAACAGTGTCCCACGATGTTTTGAGCTGAGGTTTGGACATTCCAACATCTGGCTTAGTACTTCTAGCCAAGAACCACAATGCCCTGTACGATCTCAGGCTGACAGTTTTGTGCGGTTATTTTCGTGCTTGCCCACCCCATAGTTTTCAATTATACTTGTTTCTGTGTCACGCCACTTAGACTGCATGACCATTCTGAAGGCTACAGTTGGCAATTGGAGACCTGCAACGTGAGTACTGTGTCCTTGCTCATGGGCGTTGGCCCGGGGAAGCCCGAAAAGATCTGCGGAGCCGAGAGCCTTGGCCGAAACAAACGCTGGTGGCGGAACACAAAAGACGAACAAAAACATTTGTACAGTATCATCATCAGCACTGCTGAACTGCTTGGCGTTGGAATTAATGCTTTCTGATTCGCTACTATAGTTAGACCTGCCCGCTGTGGTGCAGCCTTCCATGGCCGCAGCAGTTTAGCTTGGCTCGCCCTAGTTCGCATGAAAGAAATCGACATCGAACATGTTACCATGGCCTGACACGACATCTTACACTATGCATGGATACATGCAACAATCGTAAATCGTAACGTAGTCGTAAATTGCAGATAGACATATAATATATCATATAATTGTACAGTACATGATCACAATTTTATGAGAGAGAGAGAAGCTGAACTCAGAAGTGTTTCGCTTGTACTTGCTTGTGCTCCGTGCCTTCAAGGTAATTTGCTGCAGAGTGCAACTAGGCATCAGTTCTATAAGAAGCATAGATCTTCGACGATCTTCGTGCGAGCAGGCTGATAATGTGTCATTTGCAGCTAGTTAGTTAAAACAGGCATGGCAACCAAAATTATCCAAAGTTATCCAATATTGAGTACAGTAGCTGTTTGTCAGCCCATACCAAGTAAAGTAAAATTTATAGGACACGTTTACTTTCACAGGTCGTGGTTGGATCGACATTGGGTTCGAGCAATGAGAGTTTGCTTTGCAGTTGTTTGCTGCAGAGTGCGAGTATGGGGTTTGAGCTGAGCGTCAATGGCAAAGTCACTGGCGCAGAGCAAGTCCATCAAGTCTTTATTTTTGACTCGAACGCCTCAGGAGATGCTGGAGCTTTGTCACCAGATTCCCAAGGAAACTTTGATTGGATTCTCAGCGAAGCTGATGATCCGCAGCTCGAAGCAGAGTCACGGCTCTTACGCATGGAAGCGGCTAAATGGAGTGCTGCTACATGTTTGCTTGGTGGCTACTGCATAAATGGTGAAATGCCAGTGCTGCGAGTGGCACAGACGATTGAGGGCACTCGTCTTCTCCTCCAGGTTGAGCCATCTGAAAGAGCAACAGGATACAAAACAGATTTCATTTTTCACAAAGCAAAGGCTGGCCTGTCCCAAGTCGTATTTGATCTCGCAGAGCATCAACCAGTCTCAGTTTTGATAGCTGGAAATCCATACAGAGTGGGTGGCAACTTCAGCAAAGGTGGTGTGGTTGGTGTGGAAGAGTCCTTGTGTGTGCAATCAACTTTACACATATCGTTGAGGCGAGCGGCCAAATTGGAAGAAATCATTTTATTGAACTCTCCCAGAGGGTCACACGGTCCAGATCAGCCCAAGGCTTGGGACCCTTACATTCCTGAGCAGAGCGCCGTCATCAGTCCAAATGTGCAATTTTTCCGTCGAGGACCTGAACATGGATTTCCCTTTCTCAGAAACCCCGTTGAAGTGGCGGCCGTGATCACAATCGCCATGCCCAACTGCAATCCGCTCTTGGTGGATCACCCTTTAGATGTGCCTGAAGACCCAAAAGAACATCGGAGACTGTTGAAAGCAAACATTGCGGCTGGGCTGGAAGCTGCTGCTATGAGGTCTCGTGTTGTGGTTATTCCAGAACTTGGATGTGGACCACAGCAGAATGACCCAAAAATAGTTGGTAGTATTGTTGAATCACTACTGCTTGATCGCTTTTATAGTGCCTTCTCTGAAGTTCATTTTGTCGTCGGGGACACTTTTCGGACCTCGTGCTCTAGCCTGGACCAGAAGGCTGGAATTCCACAATTTGCCACGACTGATGGTGAGTTGCTGGCCCGCGCTCCAGGGCAAGAGAGTTCGCCAATCCCAGAGCAACAAGATGCACCACCCAATCCAAATCGGGTAGACCCAGGCACGCTACTGCGTCGCCATTCTTCGCCGCCGTTGCCTCCCTTCGAGGCAACACAAACATCAAGCAGCACGAGTGTTCGGCGACATTCTTCTCCACCCTATGCTTCCCCAATTGCGGAAGCCCAGGCACTGGCAAACGAAAGCTTGGCATCGGAAAGTTCTGCTAGCTTGGAGTCAGC